CCCCCCCCCCCCCCCCCCAAGAGACCACACAGCTTGTTTTTACTTTGAAGGCATCACTGGACTTCCTGTCATGCTCTGTCAGACTGTGAACACTTGTTTAAAACTTTGTACTGCTGAAGATTTTTATGTTGGAAAAACTGAGGTTTGTAAACGTCTTGCCAAAATACATTAATTAATAATTAACCACTCAATCCATTAATCAAATCATTGATTGGTGGAAAAATAATGTGATGTAAATAATAAATGTCCTTTAGCAAACACTTTAAAACAGGACTGAGCAGGTTCACTGAGGTTTATCCTCTCACACCGACTATAAATATAAGTAAAAACCACATTAAAAAGAACAGTATACACTTTTAAGAACTTTTAATTGTTGCTCTAGTTTTTCATATGGAAACGACCCCCCACCCCCACCCCCCACCCAGTGCCTGGGAACCCGAAGGCAGAAGAAAAGGCCTGAAAGGAGAGGAAAAGGAGCAGGAGAGGAGGGTGAAGAGAGGAAGAATAAAACCACACTACATCTTCTTCAACATCTGATGTGAGTTTGGCAGAAAACCGGTCTCTCTGAGCAGAACCACATCAGACCCAAAGAATGTTTCAACCGTTTGTTCTGTATTTCATCTGTCAGGCATCTCTGATTGGTGGGGGTCTGTCCCAGCAGAGCAGATTCAGGGCTAAAAAACATCTATGTCCTCCACTTTTTCCAGTAAAAGAAAACCAACTGAATCTACATTAATTTTCCCTTGCAAAGATAGAGTACACAGCACACAAGTAGAACTAGAGAATTGCATTTTCTGAAGAAAATGCGTATGGATGCTGAGTGCTGAAAGATCGCCCTGAAAATGCTGAACATTTTGACACCTGAATGGTTTTGCTGGTGAAAGTAAGCTGAATTAGAATTTCCCCATTCATTTGAATGGGGCAAGATTTTCAAAATAAAGCTAAATATTTCAAAAGTATGACGTTTAGAAAACTTTTGAATAGAAGCATGAATGTCCTTAAGGAGCGGAACATTTTGATAGCTGAAAGCGCTGAAAGTATGCTGAAGTAGAATTTCCCCATTCATTTGAATGGGGCAAGATTTTCAAAATAAAGCTAAATATTTCAAAAGTATGACGTTTAGAAAACTTTTGAATAGAAGCATGAATGTCCTTAAGGAGCGGAACATTTTGATAGCTGAAAGCGCTGAAAGTATGCTGAAGTAGAATTTCCCCATTCATTTGAATGGGGCAAGATTTTCAAAATAAAGCTAAATATTTCAAAAGTATGACGTTTAGAAAACTTTTGAATAGAAGCATGAATGTCCTTAAGGAGCGGAACATTTTGATAGCTGAAAGCGCTGAAAGTATGCTGAAGTAGAATTTCCCCATTCATTTGAATGGGGCAAAATTTTGCTGAAAGACACTAGTTTAAAAAGTATAAAGGTTAGAAACAAGAAAAATAATAGCATAATTGCCCTTAAAAAGCTGAACATGTCGATACCTGAACGGTTTTCATAGCTGAAAGTATGCTGAAAAATTTAAATGCCAGAAAACGGACGGAAGAACCCAGAATAATAATAAATACCAGGATAACATAGTATGGATGCTGACTCAGCATCCATACAACTAACACTGTCATTAGCAGCTCGTTAGCTGATCACTCTTTCTCTCTGATTGCTCATTTTGTCTATTAAACATTATCTGTCATGTTCTCAGAGACCAACGAAACAGTCGGCTTGGACAGAAAATCATCAAATGTCCACATCTGAGGCGCTTAAACACACTTTCAACATTTTTGCTTAAAGCTACAGTAGGTAACTGAAGGTAGCGCAGCATGAGACTCCAAATCAGCCCACCCATGCTCCGCCCAGCTCGTTACATATTAGTCATCATGAAATTACAATAAATGAAAATGCAGCCAAATTCACTGACCAAGCAGAAATAATAGAAAATCTCTGATTGGTCAGAGAGGTCGGTCCCACTCAAAACCTTTTAGAAGCTGATATCTCTGCACTGCTGCCAGCGCTGGTCAATGAGTCTGGGTCGCAGGAAGCTTCGATGGCACCTCTCCACATTAAGGCGCACTTTAGAGCAGATTTCTACAAAAATGTTTTAGAAAAGTTGCATACAGCAGCTTTAAGATAACATTTGTTGATAAATTTTCTGTGGATTTGCTCTGTACCATAATGTGTGAGCTTTCTATCAATCCCCATCAAAACTCAATGGGCATCACTACTGCAGCAATACTCCAGTGAACACAGTATTTCAGTTTTAACCTCCAACATCTTGTAATGTGTGTCCATGTTTAAATAGAGGAAATAAATATCAGACTGACGTCTAAAGGAATGCTGCAAACAGTTTTCACCAGTGTTTCCCCCTGCAGTCACCTGACAGGGTCATGTGACCAGGCTGGGCAAGTTGTTACCACAGAGGGCTTTTACAGTGTTCAGTCAGAAACAATGAAGCTGATGTTTGCTTCTAAATAAACAACAAAACAAACTGTCAACGCACACAGACCGTAGGAGATTTCATGGCGTCGTTTGCTTACACAGTTCACATAGTTTGAACCCTCTTGTGTTTATCTGAGAGAAATCCATGAGAGGCAGAAAACTGTTCCTCTCTGCATGTGCACCGCTAACATTTGCTACGGCAGCCATGTTAGCCACTGCAGCTTGCATTTTAAACTCCACTTCACTGATGCTGCTGCTCTCCAGAGGAAAACTGCCCTGGTCCCAGGCAACCATCTGCGTGAAGATTCACCTGCCTCCAGGTGTGTGGCATACTGACAGAAACCCGCAGATCTTTGTAAACGAGCGGTACAGACGACTACCAGGGAGTAGGCTATGCAGTAGCACTGCAGCATACTCAGTGGAACCACAGAGTACTGAGGAGTATTCCGTAGTACCGTGTGGGTCCATATGTGTTTCCAGATGAATTTCAGGAGCAACTGAAATTGGAGGATCTCTCTGCCAACTGTGCACTCTGATTGGTGGGAACAAACAACATTACTGTGTTGACTGAGTCATGTGACCTCTAGATGACCTTTAGACTGAAAGGTCACATTAACATTTCATCAGACTGGTCTCAGTTCAGCCATGGGTGGAGGTTGAAGTGTTTGACCTCTGACCCTGTCCTCACACAAAGGCCAGGTCTTTATTTGTGGTGCATGGTGTTTACACTTGGGTGTGCATTAACTCCCAGCTGTTTTCTAACACACACACGGTTTCAGTGTTTAGTGACAACACAACATGTAATACTGTCCTGTTATTTATCGGTGACAAATGTTAAAATACAAACTGAATCAGATGAGTAGATGACTAAACAGCCTGTCTGTGCAGCCTGTGAGACAAACTGCAGGGCGCCAAGACAACGCTTCATCTCAAATTCTCAGGCTGATTCCTGTCTCTTGCTGAGTTTCATGTCCAAAGAGTAAAAAAACAAACAGTGTGTTGGGATCAGCTGGCTGTGTTGGATCTTTGTCCTCCATCAGACAAAAGAACAAAAGGAGA